TAAACAAGACAATACATTTATGTCATCTGGAAGCAAAATATGCACACTAATTAATAGACAGAAAATACAAGTTAAATGTATTTATGACCATCAAATGGTAATTAAATATTAAAAAATAAAATAAAAGGGGCTGTGGAGTATGAAAAGTTCAAGACAAAGAAAAGAACATAAGTTCATAGCTCATGAACTCTCAATTTTGCCTCCATTGAATTGTGAAGGCCAATATATTTCAAGTGGCTGAATTGGTTTACCTTTATGATAGCAACAATTTTGTATTTAATATAGCAAGATTTTTTTCAATTTAATTGAAGTGATATTATTTTCCAAAGCAATGCTTGAATCGTCTGAAATAGATCAGGGGTGTCAAACTCATGGGTTTTTGAGAGCCGCATTGCCTCTCGGAAATTGTAAAAAAGGCCGCTAACAGTTTTTGATAATGTATACTTGAAAGAAAGATATTTTTAAGATAGTTTTAGTTTGTGACATATATTGTGATGCAACTAAACAGTTGGATTAAGTTTTATTATTTTCTTTAATTTCAAATGCGATTACATATTACTATTTGAATTCCACTATTATTGCAAGTTACTGTATTTATTATAAAAAAATCATGAAATTCTATGTACAACCATCAAAATCTTTTTTGATTAAGCTTTGGATAAGGAAAGTATAATACATATATACACTAAAAATGACTCAATCTAAATATGTGGACCTAAAATTAACAAAAATACTACAGTATAAACTCAATGTTTTTTTAATTACATTTGTCCTGACGTTTGGCATCTTTTTTGTGTCACCAGCATATTAAGGCCAGGCTTAAATGATTTTATAGTACCAACTCTAACTAACGAGGTCACATGATCATGGGTTAATCTGGATCTTTGCGAATGTTTAATTAATTTTAGTAATGCAAAAAAGTTACTTTTACCATTTCATGTATAGATCAGTAAAAAAACAAATGACAGATTTTTTCGACAAGACATTTCGCTCCACATTGCGTGGCATAGGATTGCTTGAATTATTATTGATATTGATTTTTAGTAACTAAGTCGTTGTATAATTATATTAATATACAAACACATGGAAATTTTCTGTTCGAAGTTGGTCTTCGAATTTGTCATATTGACTGCTGAGCTTATTGTGTTTTTTCATTGTATTGATGGAAATATGACAAATTAAACAATGTGCTTCAGAATTCTGTGAAATGCAGAAATATTGCAACTCCCATTTTCTTCAAAAATGGCACCTTCTTCATGTACTTTGCGTTTAATTTAATCACTTTGTTTTATTCAAGTATTCCTTTGCTAGCTTGATGTGTATTCTTAATTGGGTCAAAATGTGAACAAAAAAAATCACTTTAAAAGGTTTGAAAAATGTATTACATTTAGATAAAAAAAAACTTCCAAAATACAATTACGAGAATATCGGTCGGAGACCGAAGACTTATCGATCTTAGATCGGTAATTAGTTAATAACTCGCTAATTATAAGACATAATTAACCCAAAATCTATAGGCTTCTGGTCCGAGGTAAGATGCATGCACATGCAAAATTTGGAGCAACCACGCGTTCGTGAGATATCGCGTTCATCTAACAGACAAACAGACAGACAGACAAACAGACAAATACATATCAACATACTTACCGATCTTAAGATCGATAAGTAATAATTATTGTTAATCGTTCGAGGGCACACTGGAAGTTCTCTGTGGCCGCGAGTTTGACATCCCTGGTCTAGATTGAAGTTGTCCAAAATATATAACAGTATTTTATCATGATTATACCCTTTCCTGAATTTCTTCTATGGTACTACCAAAAGTTGAATACAACCAAATATGACACAGGTGTAGTGAGTGACCCGTAATCCTCATTTTCCAAAGCTGTTTTAAGTATGCCTGGCGTGTTTTGTGCCTTTTTACCGCTTATGCAATCTTACGCTTTGGGAATTTTTAGGTATTTTCCTCAAGCCCTGCAGGATGTGGGGGCCTTACACAACTCTACCGGGGGGTCAAATGTCTTTGCATGCCTCCATAGGTCGTTCTTCTGTTGCAAACATTTATGGAGTACTCTACTTATATTTCTTGGAATCCCACTGTCACTGATATGTCGCCAGACTTCTAATATCTCCCCATTTGCTACAGTTGTCCTGTGAATAAAATAATAGGAAATTGAGGTTAGACGAATAGTTGAAAATTTGAGACGTATAATCCCGGGATTAAGTAAAAGATTGAAACAACTTGCATGACAATAAAATCACGTATGTATTCCATGTAATATCGACGCAGAAATATTGGAGCATTCAGGGCAGTGGTTCCCAACCTTCTTTTTTATATCGCAATACACTATTTTTAAATATTCGCGGCACACCTATTACAAAACACGAACTTTTTCTACCCATTAAGAGTGCGATAGTCGAACGCAAACAAATGGTTAATAGTTACCGATATATATTAGAACTGTTTTCTTACATTGTAAACGAGAGTAAATTTTACTACTCAAATAATAATTCCTTGGTACAATTTGAGAAAATTTTCGCACAATAACTCCAGTCAAACTGTAAGCGTGGAAGGTTTTTATTTAAAATAAGTATTAAATAAAATGGTATACCCTACCATTTGTGAGAATATATATATGTGGATAACAAAGCCTCAAAATCCCGGGATTTTTAGAAAATAATTGCGGGATCGGGATTGAAAAAAACCCGGGGTCCCAACCCTACATCCAACGTTATTATGCAATTTAAGAGTCCTCTTAACTCGTCGTTAGGAGAGCGTCTTCGGAGCACCTCACACTATTGTAAAAGTTGCGCGGCCGCACGGGTAATACGTGGTATTGAAACGCACCGCTGATCACGCGCTTCAGTTTTGCTCGCCCTTCCCTATTTCCACGTTACGCCCTTATTATTATCGCATAATATATTATCACTTTTTCACAACCGAATTCATATTTGTTACAATTCAATATGTTTCTCCCATTGCCAAAATCATTCAATAGTGTTATTGTCGGCAGTTGCGAGAGAAATGAAAGGGGCAAACAAACTGCGTTTCATTACAACAATTAGTTATTATCGCTAAACCAACGAGCGCTAAACACACTAAATAGGTATAAAGTAGTTATTACCAGTTTTCACAGCTGGACGTCAATTTTTACGTTATGAATTTCGTGCAAGGCCCGAGAATAATTTGATGGCAAAGATCATAGCATTTACTGTGTCGAAACGCTTATTCGACTTTTCAGACCGCAGAAACTATCCGAAAAAGATAACAGTTTTGTATTCGAGATATGGAATAATCGTCAATTCCACCACGTTTTCGTGAAGTAGTGCAATTTACTAAATTTATGAAAGTTTTGCATGCAGTTTCATTGCATTAGTGTTTAGACTACCACGCGTTTCGCCAGATTACTGGCGTGATTACAGATCGCAGGGGTGGTCAAAATCGTTTATTTTCATCGAATCGAATAATTTTAACGAATTGTTGAATTCGGAATTTTATTTCGATTTTTAACTTTTGGGTCGGCTTTGATCTTTCTTGTCACCGTTTGTAAATTAACTGTCAATATTTTAAGCCATAAATTTTATGAAGACGATAGTTGTTGACCTTCTTGATTTTACTTTTCAAAAGTATGGCTGTTTTATTTTCGTATTAAATAGTGAACAAAAACACTGCAAAGTCATTGCGTGAATCCTGAATGATATTTTGGGTTCAAATTATGATTAAATAAGTCGGCATTAATGGCAATTCTACTTCTCAAATAATAATTCGTTGGTACAATTTGAGAGAAATTTCGCACAATAATTGCATTTGTAGGAATATGTGGATAACAAAACCTTAAAATCCCGGGATTTTTAGGAAATAACTGCGGGATCGGGATTGAAAAAAACAGTCCAAAGCCCGGGGTCCCAACCCTGCATCCAACGTTATTATGCAATTCAAGAGTCCTGCTGCAGCATGGTCATGTTTATTACTGCTGCAGTATTCTTGAATCTACTAGCGCAAAGGCATTGGGGGAAGATACTCTTGCTCAACATTTACTGATAGTTACATATAAAGTGTTTGAAAATTTTCTCAGAATTGCTTTTACTATTTACCGAGAAAGAAATCATTTCGAACGGTTGGTGGATATATCAATGGAAAGTCAACTTTTGAAATGTAGTTTTACGAACCGAATGTGTTTCATTTTTACAGATCAGTGTGACCTAAAATTCATCATCTAATGCTGTTTTTAATTTTTCCAAATAAAAAGATTACAATCATGGTTTTGAGTTTGCTTCATTTGTAGCAGCGGCTCCCATTTTTTTAATATCTTACCTCTTAATAAAAAAGCCCAAGTAGTTCGTTAACAGAAATAAAATTCGCAGTGTGCAGAGTCGCGAAGTAAAAAACTATTGCACCTTCCAATAAGCTTCAAGATGTTGTAATCGTGATCAGCACTTCAAAAACATTGTTATTAGGTCTTTATTATTGCGTGGCTGACAACATTCCCCAGTTTACGGAAAGCAATGACTTGTTGGGTAATACTACGCTGATTAAACTTTCCCACACAATCTGAAAATTTGTGGTGTTCTTAAATCTTTCTATGGAGACAATATGTTTTTTGTGACATGGCAATTTTCCCAATGCCATCCGTACTTTTTTTCATAAGGTTCCGATGGGACAGCACTTTCAGAAACGAATACTTCGGTCTACATATTCAAATACTGAGCAGTGTCACTCACAGATTCTCTTCATACTAGGACATAAAAAATTTAGTCACCTAATAAAGGGACATATGACTTGACTGGTCTGTGAACGTGAGTTATTGAACACGAAGATGATGATTTTTCAAATTCAACGGGACTTTATCGGACCAATGACATTCCTTGATCGGACCTGTCAATTTACCCTAGAGTTTGCTGAATTTGAAAAATGACAACAATAACAAAATGTGCCTGCATTCGCTGACTGTTGGGCCATTTCAATTCAGGAAGATGTTGAGTACAATCATACAAGAATAAAACTAAGCAAGCACCAATAACTTTTACACATAGTACAATTAAAATATGCAGTGATAAAGATTTGCACATTCATCAAAATTTATGATAGAGATATAATTGCGATATAGATAAATAAATGTTATGACTTTTCAACTGTATTTTTGAACAAGCACAAAGCAGCCAACTCTACAATGTTGTTCACAAGCAACATTGCTGATAAATCAAGCTTGACAATTGTATTTCCAAAACACTGATATAATTGCAATATTGGTTGTAATATAAGTACTTTTAGCCATAGTACGATTTTTAGCGTGTATAAGTGCATAAGAATAAGACTAGCTTAGCAGCATAATTCAAAAATATTTAGTAAAGTGTAGGCAATGAAAAATGATGGACTAACACAATGTGTATAACTTCAGCATAGATGCACTCCCCTTTAAGGGTTTATAAAATGCAATAATGATTTTCTACTTTAACATGATCATTGTGTACATTTTTGCCCTCAAATTTGACAGCATTTTATGCTATCCAATTCATTATTATATTTCCCAATGATTATAAAGTTTAAGACCATACATCATGCTGCGCTTCTCTTCTGAAAAGGGACCAGTCATTCCATAACACAAGGGCGAATAAAGATAGAAGCTCTCCAACAACAAAATCCCAAAAATAAGGTGAATGGCAAAACGTACTGTAGATGGCAAGATCCAACCACGGAACACCTTGGAAATCGACATGGCACAGTTATTAAAACACAAGTCCAGAAAGCAACCACTCAAACAGCAACTAAATATAAATGCTGCGTAATAATGATGAAAATAAAGTGCTCGTGACATTAGGAAAAATGGAACGTAATGGATAAACCAGCCAAATAAATACCATTTACATGCAAAGATATGATGGGAATTTAACCTCATGACATCACTCTTCATTATAGGAAGGTTTGGGATTAGACTTGCTACTTTTACTCTGCTTAGCTCTCTCAATTCCACAATACGAACAATCGCGAAGAAAACTGGGGAGACAATTATTACCACGAGATTGAGGGAGTAGATGAGAGGATTTCCTAGGAGGTACACTCTCAAATCCTGTTCACCCATGAAAGAGAACACTTGACCCTGAAGATAAACAAAGAAATATCAATAGAGTCAACCACAAGAATTCAAAATAATTTTTTTTTGATATTATAGATATTACGAGTAAAAGGCTGGAACAAAATATAAAAAACTAAAAAATTTAAGATAATAATTTGAAAGTACCGTAATTTCACACATTCACCCAGCATACAACATTAATTTACCAACTCCAAAAGAAGGAATAAGATTTTTAGTCAAAGATTCAACTAGTAAGCTGTTGACTTGTATTTTGCCATAGTTTGATGAGCATGCTGAAGTGTTACACCAAACAGACTGATCAATACTTTTTGCTATATTGTTGGTAACCTCATGCATTTTGAAATGAGTCAACACACATGCCCCACTGATAAAATTAGATTGATATATACATAGTTTTAAATCAATTTGTGCCAAGTGTTGTTAGGAATACGCTCGCCACCGCATCTCTGATTACCCTGCATTGATTTGCACGGGATGGTTATGTTCGAGAGGATTGCTGGACTCCTCGCCGCCAGAGGGTGGTTCACGTAACCACTGGTCTGTTACGGCTTCCTCCAGCATCAAATCCATATTTCTGAAAACAAATAACTGGCTAACCAATCCCATACCCGACCTGGACTGGTAACCGGATGAGAGGCCGTGGTTTGTCATATAATTAAGCCGTCTTATCGTTCTCCCTCTCTCCTAGGATAAATATGTAAATCCTATCCTATCCAATTAATATTCAGATGCAATTTTCATCAAATGATGAACAGCAGACCACATTCTGATACCAATGAAGAGATTAATAGACAAATATTGAGTTAATCTTTCTGGTGAAAGAACAAGAATATTAAACAGAAAACATAGGCCACGATATAAAAAAAAATTAGGACGTTTAGCTATCACTACTTCCGGGTATTTAATTATGTGATGAACACAGGAATATAAGACAAAACCTGCAAAGAGGGTCAAACTAATGCTGAATAATCGCTAAATAATATAAATAAGTGAATTGTTATAATCATTAAAATTGCATATGAAACAAAGTTCAGGAATACTGTTCACTCGTCAGATGAAGATATACTAAGATGAGAAAATTAAAGTTTACAATGAAATCAACTGAAATAACCTTGTAATTCAAAGGCCATTGCCATGGTCTTGATGCTATGTCTCCAGCTGTAGGCTTTATGAGAGAATTGCTTGATGCCATGACTAAATGAGATTCCACAAATCGTTCCAGAAATGTCATCTGGCAGGATGCCAAAGTACTTTTTTGTAAATGCCGATGATAATGTATTTCAACATTCCAGAGTGCAGTTTGGAAATCTCTATGAAGATGGGAACATACAACCTAAATAAATATCAAAGTTTTATGGAACGTAGGCACAATTAGGCAATACATATCACTGGGTGAAAACGCGGGCCACAACTTTTTTTAGCATGAGTTTTCTATTAGTTGCATGCACACAAATTTTGGTTATTGAGCTTTTGACATGCAATCTCACTGCGCACAAACTAGCTTCGGGCATTGTAACGTCATTTGCATAAATTGGACTCGGGTATTGGCTTTGCAACGCGAAGGAATTGGGATTACTCGCACGTCCAAGATCAACTAAAGTAAAAACTAGTTTTCGCGGACGCACGCCATTCCAAATCGGCACTTTCCGCGGGCCGCACAAATTTTCCTTACAGGTCGCATTTGGCCCGCGGGCCGCAGGTTGCACACTCCTGACTTAAACAGTCCACATATATCGAGAAATTTAAAGCTGAAATTTCGAAATAGAATATCTTGATATTTAAGGCAAAACCATTCTAATAACTTAAAATGGGAGCCTAAGTGAATGTATTCCAGAATAATTTTAGAGCTGGTGCATTGATATTCTATGTGCTATAGCTTATGTTGTAGCTTAGAAAAACACTATAACCCCAGGCCAAGCAATGTTATTTTGATTACTATATTGTTTCGCATAAAACACACACTTTCACAACTAGATCTTGCACTTATATTAAAATTCATGTTTCTTGAAACTTGTTTTCAACCAAATTCCAGCTACACAAAGGAAGGTAACCGAAATTAGAAATTAACTGAATAAATAAATTCATAAACAATGAATATAAGGTTCTTCGTAATGGAATCGCTTCTTGAGATCTCAATGGCAAGCAAATTGAATAAACTAATCATTATTACATTGCAAGCCTCAAGTAGTCACTACCTCATACTGATTTGCTGCCCAATCCGGTAATTTCTTGAAACTACTGTGTAAAGCACAGCCGGAATTGACATGAATCAGTCTGAATTTCGTTTGAATGACTCTGATTTTTCCAGTGGTTATATCTGGAAACATACCATTGAATGAGAATAAAAAAGTGTCCTTGATGATTAGTGAAGATTTATTCAGAATATAAACAAATGTCTTATCTTTGTAATTCAATTTCAAACAAGATTAGAATTGCTCGAGGTGTATAAACATTATATTAGTTAATCTGAGTTGAATGAGTTTCAGGTTGGTTCATGTAGTGCTCAGATAGGAAACCATGTAAATAGATGAACTGTTGCCTATTCCATTAACTAATGAAGAAAAATTAGGCTTGCAGTCTTGAATTTAGATCATAATAATAATTATTATTGTAATATCATAGAAGGACAAACCTCACATAGTAAAACAAGCCTAATAAGAATTTTCTTTTATCCGACTTCCTTATGTATGTTACTATCTCATAAAATAGTACATGGGTAATCTCATCAAAATCTTATCTTACCGGTTGTCTTGACAACATCAATTTTCCACAACTCATTCAACTTATCTTCTACATTTGTTCCATTGGCACATGATACGATCTGTTTATTAGTTGATATAGGTGAAGGTCTTGCAAAACTATGAAGATAAAGTTTTGTAGGGATGTGACGCAGTCGAATAATGTCGCCATCTTGAAGAATATCAGTCTACAAAACAAGCAACCATAAATAAATTGGAATCTATTGGTATTTAGATACTGTTCAAAGATTTAGCATGCTCACATAAAACACAAATCTGCAAGCACATAATAAAAAGTGACGCTTTTTAATTTCTAACAGTTTTGGGGAAATATATGGCAAAGCTTATTACTATTCACATACACGGTGAAACCTCCTTTTAATTAAGGGTATTCATTCCAGTTTGCATGATTTTTATTTCGACTGGATAACAGAGAGCTGCTTTCGATGCTCATAATAAAACTGCAATATTTATGTCAACTGTTTGTTGAATACAACTTTTCAAACCTTTTTGGACAAATCAATCAATCCATGTGTCATCGTGGTTGTTATTGGTAACCCATTGTAAGCTAAGTTCACTTTTTATTAGAACTGAGCTGAAAATTATGCGTCGAATTAATATTACGAAAACGATTTGCTAAATTACATTGAATACCTTGCCTTGGTAATACAGACATGCAAAGCAAAACTCAATGCTCCTCATATTTTAAAAGCCCATCTGACACACTCGTGCACGCCCTTACAAGAAACGTACAATCTCATAAATACATTGTTTTCCAAGCCACAGATTGTCATGATTTGCGCTTCTCTTACCATGACTAGACAACAACGTTTTTGAGCACTGTGCGAGTTTTTGATGACACATGCTAGAGAAAAGACTTCAACAATTACAGCTTAACCCTACTATTTATCATTTGTTGTAAAACTTCATAAAATTAATTAGGTACATAAGATCATTCCAATATTCATAACTCACCTCATTTATTTCTTGCTCTTCTGTCACATTTGGTTTTATAACTTCCCAAAGATTATTTTGATCTTTGTAAAAGTATACAGTAACCTAAAATATTATCAAGTATTATGATAATGCTAGTATGACAAAATTGACAATATAACAATTTCTAATTCCACAGTTTCAATAGTAAAATCTAAATTTTATACAACATCTTTACATTCATATTCAAAGTTTCTCAGTGCTGTAAGGCAGCGTTTCCCAAACATTTTTCGCCCCGGAACACTTATGTTTTTTATCTCGCCTCGCGGAACATCAAGAAATTAGAAGGGGAAATTGATTACAAAAAAATTGTGTAATGGATTTACTTTGGTTATCAACTTGCACAACCGGCTTATCATGACATCCAGTATAAAGCCAACAGTCCATTGAAAAGGCAGACAAATTTACGACCCAAGTGCGAGATTGCCATGGCGACCAATTCAGTCGCACCCTGTCATGCGAAACACAGCTTGAGAAACGCTGCTCTAACAGTTGAAGCACTGTCTTATTCCTGGAGTTTGGATAAATGGTGGAAACATGCACGAATCCTCCAAATGGTTATCACAGATAGCAAATTAATTTGGTCCAGCCATTGATGCCTAATGACAACATTAACTAAATTTTTCCATTTCCATTATGTAAAATCTGATTATTCAGAATACATTATCAGAATAAACACGCATATCATATTATGGCTTGTGAAAATAATTTTCTACACAAATATAAAAAGACACATGAAACACAAAGTCAGATAAAGGGAAAGATAAAAAATTATATGATCAACAAAACTATTTTCATCATAACTTCAGTACGCAGTAAACAGCAAACCTGTTGTTGCGAGTCTGGCATAACATCAATCGGATACGATAAGTTATGAGAATGCAGAAGACCCGATGCATCTGACTTGTGAAATTTAAGAGTAATTCCTGATCCATAGGCCACATGGATAGGCATTGATGCATTGTTTAGACGATTTCCTGCGAAAATAAATATGGCTATATCATCTATGTGTGAGTTCAGGACCTAAAAGCCACATTTTTGTACTAATTAAGCATCTCAAATTTCTCAGTGGATTAAAAAGTTTTCTTTATTTCAAAAACTTGATGACAAAATATAAATTGTTGTGTTTTTGTAAAGTTAGATAATCAGAAATTAATTAAGATTGGAATGATAAGTATACAATATATAATATACAATAATTCAGCAACTATCAAATAAAATTCCTGCCAATTTTTCATTAACAAAATGCTGCCATTAACTGGGACAAACAAGCATACAATGCTATTTACATGTACCGTAGTTCACAATTATGGCTGTATGGGAAAAAAAAAGTATAGCATCTTATTTCTAGCGTTTTTTTTTAAGTCCAGGAGTTTATTTCAATTTCGAGATATAATGAATTATTGTCTGCAACATATACCTTTCAAACACATTTGAAACTCAGAGCTATGAACAGAATCTTGTTTTCCAGTCCCATTGAGTACTTGGTAATGAATTGCAAAAATGGAAGCATAAATACATATTGGTATTATTATTAGACCAATCGATCGAGCGAAAAAATGTTTTGAAAATTCCTTCATTGAAATCTCCTGCAATACATAAAGTAACTTTTTAACTAATATAGTGAGATAAGACCTTAACAATATATAAATGACATATAAAATAATATTGTGTGTCAAATTTATGTTATATTATATATATTCTCAACACGATTTTGGCAGGGTTATGTTGAATAACGAAAAAATTTGGTAAAACAATCACAATGCTTCGACGAATTTCATGAAATTATGACTAGGTAGTTTTATTCGTTTTATGTTAGTAAGTTAATGAATAAGTAAAGCACCGTTTTACAATTAGATTGAAACCTTGGTATTTCCTAATAAATCCCACAGATCTTTTACAGTCCAGCATCCAACAAATGCAACAGTAAATAGGCCGACCCATTTTACAGCAAGCATACAACCTAGGCTAACTCCAGAAAGTGCAAGAAACATCCACCAATGGTAAGAAAATCTTTTCAACACAGGGTCATGGTGGCATTCCAACTTATGATTCTTTTTCAAATCTACATTTTGTTTAGTTTCTTTACTAAACACACTTCCAAATTTAGTTCTTTTTTCCATAGAATACTTTGTGTTGCAAAACAGTGAAGCAGCCAAGAAGAAAAGTAGAATTGGATCAAGTAAGATATACTGTGATAAAGCAATAAGACCACAGTCCAAAATCTGAAAAACAATTTAAAAAGTATTACATCATAAGCAATTATCACATTATAAAAATGAAACAGGACAAACCGACGTTACGATAGTTTCTTATATTCCATCTACAGGTAACTATGTGGTACGAGCTGGTCAGTTCTTAGTATGTTAATGGCTGCCTTCAATTTTGTTATCAATAATATGTTTGCTTTCAGAAAAAAACCGCATACCGTGGCATTGAACAAACTTATAATAAAACTTTCAATTTGCCCTCTTTTCTATTAGGGGTGAATAAATGAAGAAAAAAAAAACAGTATTATCGACATTCGACATATTATTATCTAACTAATAGTCGCCTCTTTGTTGAAGAAAATTTGAACCTTCATGCAGCCTCGAGTTATTTGCATATGTGGCCAACAGTTTCAACGAATATTACTCAGATGCATTATTGTAACAGGAAGAATCACTATTTTAAAATTAGAAAGCCTGCATGCAGTTGTTCCAAAACTCAAGAGCTGACTCCTAGTTCGGTAAATATTTCTCAAATCCTTAAATGCATATATTACATATTTTATAATAAAGTCTGTTCATCCAAGCTTTTTTTACTCGGTGTCAACTAGAAGTCTTGATTTACGATATCAATCATTATTGGGTACTCCCGTAGTATGTGTATCAGGTTAGGGTTAGTTAGGCCATAATTTTATTTCGATTTTCTTTAGTTCAGTTCTATTACGAGTCCGGGGATAAGTTAGCCTAGTGAATATACCCCCTACCCATAGGTTTCAGTCCCTGTATACAACTTGATGTAAAGTAGCCGTAGAGCTCGACCGATATCACTTTTTGGCACCGATACCGATAACGATATATCGGCCAACTAGTGACCCGATAACCGATATTGACATACCGATATCTACAACTCGAACCCGCAGTAAATACAAATAGAAAGAAACATTCAGTTTCAGTCAATCAAAAGTTTATGTTGAAAAATAAAGCAGTCCTACACAGTGCTTGCATCAATAATAAAAGTTTCGCAGCAAATAATAAGAACACACATTAATGCACAAGAGAAAAAAGGCAGTCAGTAAAAAGCTTATAGAAGTCCATTTTGATCCATACAGTAGTAGGTGGGAGTAGGCTTGCACGTAATTTACGGAATTGTTTGGAGTTACGGAAGGGAAGTTACAATTACGTAAAGTCGTAATTATTGGTCGAGCGCTTTCGCGTTTGAAACGTGCTCCTTCCAAGCAGCCAATTCCGTCGATTGTAAAAAATCAAAGTTTAACAAGTAGAAGAAGTTAGAGTTCCGGTATTCGCAGCCGTTTTGAGCCGGCATGACGCGTTGCCACCCCGTTTGAGCGTTTGGTTTCACGGTCAAAACGATATTATTATAAGCGTTATCACCGTAACGCAATTAGCACCGACAGACTTTTTTGTCTTCACGATTTGGTACCTTTTTATTCGGCACTGATAATGATAAATAAGAATGTGTGATAGTTGATTGTAATTCCGGAAGGCGTATTTTTCTTTGTCTCCGTGAAACAGACATGAAACGAATTTTACCGCCGCTATAAGCGCTTAAAAGGAGAGGAGGCTAGGCTACTTTCTTTTCCCGACTCAATCACTTTTATAAATACAAATCACAGCGCATTAAAAAACAAAATAGAATTTATTAGCATTAATAAACAACAAGTTACGGGTAAGAATTTATCGCCGGCTAAATAATTATTATTTGATTTAAATTTATCGCAAATGATGTTATAACATTTAGGCCGCGAAATGATTTGATATAAAATGGAGCTTGGTAATCGGAATATCGTCAATAATCCAGCATCAATAATTATTATAAAATGCTAACTAGGTAGCAAAGTCGGATAATGTAAAAAAACGGAGCAATAACAAGTCTTCGTCGCGAGGCAAGCGCAGGTATAATCAAATGAGAAAATACGATTAATAACTTAGAAACCCGAAATTTTTATTCAATACGAAAGTCGATTTTAAAAAAGGTAACTATCGTTTCATAAATATCCGTATTCCGTATACCATTATCGGTAATGATAAAATTGATCGCATAAAATTGGGACGGTTAATTTGCGAACGTGATAAAGGAAAATCAAAGCCAACACAATTAAACAAGATAAAGATCAGAATAAATTTAATTTGAATTCACTCCTTGGTATTTGTCTTTAACATCTGTCGCCGGCGTGTAGTACTGTCGGTAATATGAAAACCAAACTTCGATGTCCCATTCGGAAAAGAAGTGGATTCGAATGGTTTTTATGATAGGTTTAAACGTGGTGAAAAATATCGCAATTACGGGGTCATTACGTAATCAATTTTTCCGTAATTACGGAATTGATTTTTGTCGATTACGTGCAAGCCTAGTGGGGACGCAAGATATTCGAAGGCGAGGATTTTGCGCCGCACGAAGAGAGAAATATAGAAGAGAACTCTCTGTTCATTGAAAGGCAAAATGAGAGAAGCGTAAAAAAGGAAAACGCTCGGCCGCAGATATTTCCCGGGGAAAAATACTCATTTTTTAGAACGTGGAAAAGCGACTAACGCTGATATATATCGGCCGAACTCAGAACTCAGAAGTTTTATTTCGTCGTGCATGAAATATTGTACGCAATTAAACAATTATAATGATAATACAAAAATCAATTGAAGACTGAAGTATACATGCATACAATATATCGCAATTGACGCGGAGCCGCGAAGGACTGCAAAAGTCATCGTGTCAACGACACCGTGTTGATTTATTGATGAACAGATGACGTTGAATAAATTTAAAAAAAAAAATATGAATTGGATGATATCATCATGACTTGCTGAGCGAATTTAATTCAGGAAATAAAAAGTAAATATGATGCAAGTCAATCGAGAAAGAGTGACTGATTAAGTCAGTTTTGCTTTATAATGTCATGCTCGGGTGAGCGTAAAAACAACAAAGAAATTTCATGACTAACATGACGCCGTATAGCGTAGTTACTAGTTAGCAACCAGAAAAGGGGAGAATTCGTTATATGAGTTAAAGAGACATCAATAATATTTAAATTTGACAAGTGAAATGATTATATCGACAGAAGAAGAAGCAACACTACATAATGTGAGATGAAAAGGCATGTATGATAAGATAATAATATTAA